TGATACTTCGAGGTTTTCAGATATGGAGAACTCGAATGTGTACTGCACTTCCATCGAAATACTATTAGTTGTGCAGTGGTCAATAGAAATGAAGTTATAGGAAAAACGACTTTCTTAGGGTAAATCAAGGTGCAGAGTTGAAACTTGAGCTTAATTCGGTCCCAACTCCTATTGATTTGGCAACCCGCAATAGAAATCAACATTTTAAATGGTAGATTTCACAGTATAATTTTGATGTTGAGACAGTCTCGGATGATTGATTTGTATGATTCACTTTTTGAAGTACACATAACTCTCGGATTTAAATTCGAAGTTTCCGCATTTATTTATAATGATAACTGTATTCGATTTATTATATCTGATAATACTGCTTATTGGCAATGTCGAAGCTGTGTTTAATCACTCATTTTCATAAGCATTCGAACATCCAAATGATTTCAAGAAAAAGATATCATTGGGAGTTTAATGAATTAGGAAATTGTAAGAACATCAATAAAGTAATGACTGTTGTTTTTTTTGAAAAATGAATATGATGACAATGATAGTTATTCTACAAATTAGAAATTCTTATTTCTCAGTTGTTAGACACTATTGTCAATATTGATACCTTACTGATTTATGTTGATTGAATTATCCAAAATACGAAAAATTATTATTATTTTTTTCTTTCATTTTGTTGAGCACTATTCTAAGTTACAAGATTATCAAATAAAAAGGTTCATTTTTAGCATTCAGTATTTTTGTTCAGCAAAGATTCTGAAGATGTTTCTAATTTCAATTCAAACAAACCATTTCCACTATATTTGTATGTTCGAACATACCATTTTCCTTTAAATTGATCTTCATCTGAATTCCAAGTCAATTGTATAATCGATTTATGACCGAGATTCTCGTTTGGATTTCCTGTTCCTTCTAGATAACTCTGTGTTAGTGCTAGTCGAAGATTTTTCGAAGAAAAAATACCATCGATAGTAAAATCACCGACATCATCTGTTCCTTGACCAGTGATTTCGCCTAAATAGGAATCAAATGTGAGTGTCATTCGATAAGGTCCATGCCATTTCCCATATTGAATGTATCGAAAAGACCAGGTGCCGGTTTGGAATGGAAATCGTTCATAGTTGTGATATTTTAAAGAATCTCGACGAATAAAATCAGTATTCACTTGTGATGGTCTACCAGCAGTGCATATACGATAGCATCCACAAAACCCACACATAAATACACTCACGACAAAGGTTACATAAAGTAAAGACAAAACCAAGTCAGTAGCTGAACATCCACTGGAAAGGCATAGCTTTGCTACACCACCTGAAAATGAATCATTAACATAAATGAGAATATGAATTTCAAAATGAAATCAATATTCATACATTTAAAATGAATCCTACTTATAATGATGGGAAAAAGCTAGACCATCTTGAGTGATGTGTGGCATTTCTGTTTGACTCTCAAATGAAAATATTGTTGTATACACATTATGATTCATCAATCGCTCTTCCATATCATCAAAGTCGATTCTAGTAAGAAACCTTAGAATGCCAAGAGACTCAAATGTCTTTATTGTAAAATCCTGGCTTTGCCATTGATTGATTCTCTATCTAGAGATATTTTCATACGAGATTCAAAAAATGGTAATGCGTTGTTCCAACCATGATCAGCCATCTTTTTTTTTTTTACTATTATTAGATCACTCACTTCACTTGTAACTTACCACGACTACCACCTCCACCTCCACCACCACCACCTCCTCCTCCGCCACCACCACCACCTGGACATTGAACATCCTTTGTAAGTAGAGCCAATACGAGAATAAGATGTATGATGTTCCACATTATTTAATCTTGAATAAAATATGTTTTTCTTAGTTCTTTTATCAGTAAGAAAGATGACTACAAGCGACGAAAGATGCAACAATCATGAACGTCTTTAAATACTAAATGAAAAAATTGTGTTTTGTGAGACAAACAAGTATGTACCAAATCACTAGATCTCATGAGTTAAGAGTTTCAAAAAGTATTTACAAGTAATTCACTGTATTTAGTCTAAAGTAAACATTCAAGTATTCTTATCTTATTATTGTACAACACTATTTCCGATTAGCAGACCTTGTAAGGAATAATTCTATTGAAAATGTTCTTAAACTTGTTTTCCATCGTAAAATATGCTTAGTGTAGTATGTAATTTCTATTTTTATCAAGAAAGGTTTACATCTTTTGTGGAACTCACATATATTTTCGAAGAAAAATAGTGAGTGTAAGTTTTAAGTTCGAGGTTTCGTGGCTCCTCCCCCACCCCTCCCCTCCCCTCCCCTCCCCTTACAGACACATAGCAACGAAAAAGAATACTATAGATACATACCCCGCCCACCCCCCGGCCCGTACCCAGAAGGAAAAAAAAAGAAGTGATTATGGGTGG